GAAAGAATCGAGTGTTTCCCTATTCACGCTTGTAGCGTGAATTAAGTTTTCCTTAATAGGGAAACTTCATGTCAGGCCGGCCTGACCGGCTGCCCCGTCCGGCCGAGCCTGTTTGGGCACCTTCCCGGTGGAATTTTTTGATGAAATTTTTTGAGCATGTTCCTCATCAAGTCTAGTTTGTCCATACCAAATTTCAGCTCAAAATTCGATCGGGAAGATCGTCAAATGATTTTTTCAAGTTAACTGGTCCGGAATATGTATTTTCCAGACCAGTTAACTTGCAAAAATCATTTGACGACCTTCCCGATTGAATTTTGAGCTGAAATTTGGTATGGACAAACTAGACTTGACGAGGAACATGCTCAAAAAATTTCATCAAAAAATTCCACCGGGAAGGTGCCCAAACGGGCTCGGCCGGACGGGTCAGCCCGTCAGGCCGGCCTGACATGAAGAGCACTCCTTAAATCAAACTTTAATCCTTAGAGCATCCACATTCATGATTTTAAAATAATCTGATTATTTGTGACTCTTACTTTTTAAAATTTTCCACATAAATGTTTTGGAAATAATCCCATCCCCTCCGAATTACCTTCAACCATCATCCCGAAATAATCTAATCTTTTGTGGGTCATGTAGCAACTAATTAACTCTAATTTCATAGATAATCTCAAAATAATCCGGTTTCATATTTTGATCTCGGATTATTCTATCAATTAATTCTGTACAATAATCTCTCTCACTCAATCATGCTCTCCCAAATAATCTGCCATGTCACTAGAATAATCACTTAATAATCTTATGGATGGTGATGCCCTTAGGGAGTGTTTGCAATCACTTAAAAAAAGCTCTTCTCAGCTTTTGGCTTAAAAAAAACACTTATTTACCAAATAGTACCAATTTTTACTTTTTCTCGGCTTGCGTGTGAAAAGTGTTTTTCCCCTTTCTATTACACAAAAAGCACTTATTTTACCAAACACTATCAACTTTTACTTTTCAAAATCACTTCTTTCTCAAACACTATCAACTTTTCCTACTAATCACTTTTTCCTTACATCTCCAAAAGTGCTTTTTTTAAGCAGAAGCAGTTGCAAACACTCCCTTAATCTTTTGCTTTATATATCAAACTTTTATCAAATTTACATTTTTTATCAAGCTTGTAACAACTTTATTGTAGTTTCTGAATATGTAAATTTTATGTACTAAAAATAACCAGAGTGTGCACAGGGATTAAGTTATTTTATCATTAGTCAAGCATTGTAAACCGTAACAGGAACTTCTCTATGGAACGGAGGGAGTACATTATATTGCAATTGATCTTTTTAAGTACACAAATTCGGGGTTTTAGTGTTAATTGAGTAGATTAACACGTTAATACAACTGAGTTGGTTAACGAAATGTTGAGTAAGAAGGGTTAATGGACCAAGGTTATGACGTCGACCTTCACGAAGTTGACCAAAAGGGGAAAATCGGCCTTCGTAGGTCGACTTGAGGGGGGGGGGGGGGGCATCAGCCAGTAGGGGTGCATCGACCAAGGAGAAGTCGACCTGCGGGGGTTGACGTCGACCAAAGGGAAGTCGATTAAGTGGTTGGGGACTAACGGCGACCTTCAAGAAGTCGACCTATTAGCATTCTGTGAGCCAACTCAACTGTATTAACGTGTTAATCTAACGGGTGTGCTCAATTAACACAAAAAAACCGAATTGGTGTACTTATAAATATCAAATGCAATATAATTTACTTTTTACTCCACCTCGTACAAGTTGATGTACTCAATTGATCCTTATCTCGTTTGTAAAATTGCGGTTGAATATGAGAGTCTAATAAGGAGTATTCTAGTGATACTTGAAATATGTATATATACTTTTGAAATATGCATTGATATCACATTTTAAAACGAGTATAACATTGTAACCAAATGAGCATACATAACTTGCAAAAAGAGTATCGAAAAACTCATTTCTTTTTAGGTGTTATACTCATTTGAGTTTAGCATAAAACTCATTTCTAATGTGTTCAATATTCATTTGTGTATGTTCATTCTTTTTAGACATTAATCGCGTTATACTCATTTGAATTTAACATAAAATTCATTTCTATAATATGCAAATGTAATAGATTTATTATAAAAAAAATAGAGATTCGTCATTTTTTAGTCATGTGACAAGCGGCAGTGCTGCAAGACAGGCAAGCGATAACGACGATGGATGATCAACAAGCGATGGTGACGTTTGACGGTCGGCAAGGAAAGCCAGTCTTCTAAAACCGGCTATACCTGCGACGAGGACCACCAAAGTTCCAGAGGCTAGACCTACCGATATTGTGCAACTCGAGGGTCGTGGATTCTCGATCGACCGAGTGGTGATGATGGCAACGGAAGACGGCAACGACAGATTCCATCTTGACGAAGAAGATGGTCGGCAAAAACAAAAGCATGGGCATACATGCGCAAGATTCAGAGGTTATGGATGAAAGATTTATTGGCAAGCTTAAAGTTTTTACATATTACAAAAATACGGAGTACTTAATTGTACCATGCTTAAGATACAATCAGTTGTAAGTTATAATTTGTGAGAGTTAGAATGAATGGACTAATCATACTGAACTTAAGTACTCCATATCAATTATACTGAATTTAAATTTCAATGGGTGTATTAAATACGGAGTGAACTTCTTAATTACAAAGTGAAAAAAAGATTGTTGAATGAAATTCTTAATTTAATATTAATTTCGAACTAAAAATCATTGTCTTCATACAATGATTTTTAATTGTTATTCCTACCATCCTAGTACTAACTTCGGTTTTGTCTTTATATATAGATTAAGAAAATGAAAAATTTGTAGTCGAGAGTTTGGTAGAGAAAAAAATGATATGAATCATGAATTCTTTGCAATAAAAAGAAAATATAATTTATTATAGAATAGATAAAAATTATTAAGGATAATAAGGAAACTGAGAGACTATGTTTTTCTAGCTCGTTACTCATTCATAAAGACAATATGTATATCAATGTTAGCAAATGGGATTTTACCTAAACTAATTCAGTTTCAAGGTGCTATCAAATGAGATACTAATATTTATTTAGCAAAATTGACATTATAATAATTCATACTTTTATATCATCATCGTCATCATCATTACCCAGTGCCGCAAGGCTGCCACCTATGGTGGGGTAAGGGGGTCGGATGTACGCAGCCTTGCCCCTGTACTAAAGCACAGAGAGACTGTTTCCAAATGACCCATAGTGAAAATCGCGTTGAAAATTGCATAGGCTGACTGTCACTTTATAAAATATTTTTATATATTTTATAAAAATAGTCTATTGGAAAATTTCACAATATTTATGTCAACTGTTTGACAAAAATGAAACGCCACTTAACAATCTTAACTTTATGCTATGTTAGTTTATTTTTGTGAAACTGTTAGCATATAATCTTCTGTAAAGAAGATTTATGGTGGGTCGTGTTTCAATTATTTAAGTTCAATTCAAACCTTAGTCTCACTCTTTTTGATAAGCATGCCAAGTCATGACATAATGAATTCAGAATCGAGTGAATATCACATAGTTTCACAAATCCTCTAGAGCAAGCAATGCTCAAAGTGAAAAGGGAATAAAGTAAATCAACAGTGCAAAAGAATTGTTGTTCTTCCCAGTTCCCACGGTAATTTCTGCTTTAATACCATATATAGGAGTTAAGGAGTTCCACTCACCACCAGTGCATGTCAAGACTCCTGAGCTTTACATATCCAACATCTTGAATAGTTCCTAGAAGAAGAAGGAAATGATACATTCCCATTTTATGTTCATTTTGTTCAGCATATTGTTCTTTCTTGTTGACACAGGTAAATTTATATTCTTTTGACTTGCTATTCAGTAAGGAAGTGACCAGATGATCTTAGTTTTGCTCACTTTACTTGTTTGTTTGTTTTGGCTAAACAGATGGGATCCAACTCATAATAGTTAACAACTGCAATGAAAGCGTTTGGCCAGGAATTTTGGGGGGAGCAGGACAGCAGACCCCGAAAAAAGGAGGATTCCATCTGCGTAGTGGGGAAGAAGTGGTGGTGGACATGCCCGAGAAGTGGTCGGGCAGGATATGGGGGCGCCAGAACTGCTCCTTTGACGAGCACGGGAAAGGCTCTTGCCACACGGGCGACTGCAATGGGCAGTTATACTGTGATGGGAAGGGAGGCCTGCCGCCTGCCACAGTCGTTGAAATGACGCTCGGCACCCACTCCTCCCCCCTGCACTTCTATGACGTCAGCTTAGTGGACGGCTTCAACTTGCCGGTTTCAATGGAGGCAGTAGGGGGAGGGATTGGTTGCGGGGTGGCTTCCTGCGAGGTGGACCTCAACATGTGCTGCCCATCCGCACTAGAAGTGAGGGTGGGAGGGAAGGTGGTTGGGTGCAAGAGCGCCTGTTTGGCAATGCAGTCCCCCAAGTATTGCTGCACTGGGTGGTATTCAAACGCCAAAGCCTGCAAACCCACGCTCTTTGCCCATCTCTTTAAGGCCTTCTGCCCCAGAGCTTATAGCTACGCTTTTGATGATTCCACTAGCCTGAACAAATGCAGGGCTCCTAGATATGTGATTCTCTTCTGTCCTCCCTACCAATGATTTGCCATTTTTGCGTACCTATTATTAAGCACGGTTCTCGAACCGTGTTTGCCTTTTGTCGAATGCTTGAGTAATGCTTTTGTCGAATGCTTGAGTAATGCTGCTACATGTAAACAGTTTTAATTTATTACGTAGTGCGTAGTATTAATTATTACGGAATACGGAGTAGCTTATAAATATACAAACATGTCCTCCAAGCATCCAGTCACAGTCCATCTCAATGTGAAGACCCCGTTCCAAAAGAGTGGTGCTAAGGTGAATTGACGTGAATGCATCTTGTCATAGGCATTATCCCCATTTAGGACAGGGACTGGCTGGATACCCCCCCCACCCCCCCCCCACCCCACACACACACAGATGAAAAAGTGAAAAACAGGTTACCCGGAGAAGAATCAACTGTAGACCATATATGCTGACGGGTTCTGGCAGAAAACACTTTTCAATAAAATATGGCTCAAACTGCAATAAACAAGACCAAGAACTGGAACAGACTCAGGCAGAAACCGGATTGGTACCCCACATTTCTGTTGAAGTTCCACAGATTTGGGACTGGGTCCAATTAGTACCGTATGCACAACTGATTAAACAATGTCATTCTGATAAAAGTGAAAGCTGCCTGTTACACTCATGATCCAAAAAACAGAATACAACTACTTAGAAGAAACGGGTGATATTATGTGAATAGGTTTAACATTTTCAGTCTCGAGCCTCGGAAAATATCACACACTATAGTCTTCAAGACGAAGGATTTATATTTTCTTCCGTTGCCGTGGATCCACTCGGAAAACTTTGGATGGAAGCATCATTTGGTAGATGGCCCGGTCCAAGCAGTAATGGAGTCTCTTTTTTTACGCTAGCCTTTGTATCAACAGTATTCCTATTTGCTGCCCAAGCCCTAAGTGGTGGTTCAAAAAGCTTACTGGCAACGTCCGGTGGTTGGTCATCTCCGTGGAGAACAAGCAGCCCCTTCTCTCGGAGGGGAGACGGCTCATTATAGCAGGCATTCCAAAGGGAATCAACAAGGTGTGTTTCCTCTCTCGCAGCACCAAGATCTTCTGGGGACATCCTGCTGATACCATCAATCCTCTCTTGTAGTAATTGTTTGAGTTTCTCGTCGTCCACTCCAGAGGAACCATCATCATTTGTTTGTCCTCTGGTGTCTTGTGCTATCTCAAGCAGCCCTCGAAGTGCACCCTCTCTCACCTCCCCGTCCTCACTGGAGGCAAGATGCATCAGTATTCGGGGGATTCCAAGCCCACTCACAACAGAGCAGTCTGAATGGTTCTCTTTCAGCAAGTAATGAAACAAGTTCAGTGCTTTCCTGCAAAAGCATACATTTAAGATGATAAAGAAAATTAACTTCACGAATGGTGCATTTGGGAATTGGAACTTAAGGGGTTTTGGATGTGGGAGGGGAGTTGCTTTCTATCTTTAATTAAAGAGAACTGTATATTGTATATTTTATCACTTGTATCAAAATATTTGATACTGTTGTTTTTAAACAAAACACCCCCCCCCCCATCCCTTATACTCTCCTCCAAAACAATTCTTCCCTCCAAAGCATTAGTCCCAATTCCCAAACATAGTGTAGGAGGCCACAAGAGATCTTAAATCTCATTCTCTTCAAACCATTAAAAAAAGCTCAATAGTAATGCGTATGCCAACTGCCAAGAGTTAAGACTACCTTTGAAACCTCACACTCTCGGATCCAAAAGCATCTCTCAGAGCTGCATAACCATTTGCAAGGCGGAATGCAGTAACCCCGGCTTTATTGTGCCTGATAAGAGCTGCAGTATAAGCCTAAGGTCAAGAAAAGATTGAAAGAATACACCCAACCACATCTTAGTAAGGATTATTCGCACAAGGTCAAACTTAGACATATAAAGTATGAAACACATTGCAGGTAGTCATGTTAAACTGAAAAACAAATTGAACCCATAGAAGAGACCAACATGAGATGGCACTCAAAGCCATTGTGCGAGCAGTAACATCATCATCTGATGTGAAATTTGAGAGGAGGGGTTCCAAGCCACTGGCTTCCATCACCAATTGCTGGCTCCTGGGGTTGTTCTGAACAACTGTACTCACAACTTCTGCAGCCTTAGCTCTGATATTAGCATGTGAGTTCCTCAAGTAACCCAGGAGAGGCACCAACCCGCCAACTGAATGGAGATCTTACAAGTAAAACAGAAAGAGATAAGGAATGGGACAAGCCACAGACGGTTAAAGCATGCAGAATCATTCTTGGCATAATTATGTGGCATTGATTATAAGATGAAAGAGACTTACCATTAGCCATGTCAATAGACTCAACATGCTCTTGCAGCTCATCCAACAAACCTGCAAGAAACGATTAACAACCATTGAAGCTCAAAGAATTTTTAAAGGACACATGCAACCAATTCTATATTTGAACAGAGCATACCGCAATGAGCCCATGACAGGGACTCTGAAGAACTCAATACCTTCAATATCCTGAGGACTGATCCCTTGTGATTCTAGCACATGCTCAGGGGTTTGCATTACAAGAGAAATCTCTCTCATTCGCTTTGGAATGTCAACACTTTGAGCTTGCATGGCCTCCATAAACCATTTCCTGTCCTCCTCACTAATTAAGAATCAAGAACACCAATTACCAAATATATCAAGAACACCAAAACAAGAGAGTAATTTCAGATAAGAAAAACAATTGTCTGGTTAATTACTTAACACTACCCAAATCAAGAAACTACACCATTTTTATTTCCAAGGTTTTAAAAAGCATTTGGGGCATGCACCACCTCAAAGGTGTAAAGGCGGTACAAGAATATGCTTGTAAGGCTTAAGCCTTGAATGGCATAAATGAGGCTTACACCTCCAGATGGGTGAGGCGCAGAGGCAACAATTCCTAAGGCGCAATGTGCAAAGTAGATGAAAGGCGCAGGCCTTGTTTTTTGAATAACATTTTTTTGGGGCTGAGTTTTAGGTACTGGGTGTCTGGAATTAATTTTTTTAGATTCCCTCCTAAATTGTAAAAAAAAAACATACTCCGTACTAAACATGTCGACAACCAGTTCAAAGCCCAACGACGTACTTCCTCTTCTTAATGTCTCTCTCATTACTTCTGTTTTCTTATTACTCTTTTTTTTGTTCTACGAAACTTGAATGACCACCTGCTGTAACTTTTCAGGTCTGAATAATCGATTTGTCAATTATTTAAAATCTAGAGCTAACCATTTTACTTGAAATGATTAACTTTCAATTTGATTTGTTTAGTTATAGAAGCAGAACTTTGGAATGTCCTCACAGGATACTAAGTTAGTTTACTGCATCATTCACGTGCAAAGTAGGGTACTGAAGTACTGAACTACTCATGCAAATAAAGAAGAATATACAGATGAATATTGTAATAAAATATTGACATAACAGTTAACTTTACTCGTGATTTTAAGTTCTTTTGGCTCGGATGTTTTACTACTATGTTCTCTTTACTTGTGATTTTGCTTGGTTGAACTATTATTATGAATTATCAATACTACTTTATTTGTTGTACACTTGACCACTTGTACTAATATTTTACAATTAAATTCGAGGCTTACAACTCTTTATGCCTCACGAGGCTATGACAGACTGCCTCGGTGCCCGATTTCACCTTTCTTTATTACCACTTGAGCAATATATGTACGCTATGATGTTGAATAATATCATCTTTTGGGTAACAACATTTAGAGAATGTTTAAGAAAGCATCATTTCAGCTGTTTGTGGGCAATTTAAGCTGTTTTCTAGAATTCCCAGATGATTGGAGTGATAGATAATGATAGAGAAAGCTTAGTTTTTCATTAACCTACTTTAAGAGAGGTCGGGATTCTGTAAATTTTATTTCATCAGCTTAGTTTTTCATTAACCTACTTTACCTTGTAAAAGCTAAATTTTTGTTCCAACATTTTACAATTAGATTAAAAAAACTTTCGAATTAGCATGATATTCCAAAAAATACTATTCATACAAAAATTAGGCAAGCAGCACTTACCAACCGATATATAATTGAACAAAGCTTGCTGTATAACAAACAATACATGCAGAACCTCTTACCTTAAATTACGAGCCGGACGAGTGCCGTCGGCATGGGAGATGCTCCACTTGAGCAAACCATCCCAGTTAGGTCCCTCTTTTGCCATTACTCTTTAGCTGTAAAGTCAGAAAACACTCCTAATCACTGTTTGAGCTTTCACAAGCGAATGATAGAATACAACAAATGATGATTACGCTAATGTGGGCAAGAGCCGAGGAATTTCGGGATCGAGAAGTATCTAGAACTATCAAGTAGAAGAACAAGGGATGTGGCAGACTCGCGGTCTCAGAGTTCCTGGAAGACGGTTAGACGGTTCAACCAAAGACCAAAGTATGGGTAAACCAGGCCTTATTAACGAATGGGCCGGATATCGGTATCCAATCGTTTGGGTTCGACCCACATTCGGTTCTGATTTCAGAAATTACAATTCTTGGATTCATTTATAGCAAAATGAAAATAATTGAGACCGGTGTGATTCCGAAAAAAAAGGATGACACTCCATCTCTGAGGACACCCCAACACCGACAGATAGATATAGAGTGAGGCTCTGTCCCCGATACTTGCAGAGGCCCTATGCATATTTCAGTACATTACTATCAACTTGAATTTTTTTTTTGCTGAGGGGTGGACACCATCAATTACAAATGCATCAAAGCGGCATAATTTGTTACATATAAGAATTTCTCCCTTAAAACAAAGCACCTTACTATCAGCTTGAATCAATTTGTATGGATTCTTAAATTTGACGTCATTAGTTACCCTTTTCTTTATTACTCTTTGAGGTAAGCATTGGCTCTATGTCCTCCTATCTTTGTATTGTCATTTCATATCAATAAACAGGGAGGATGTTCCCCGGCTCCTACCCCAACCTCTTTTGGTTGGTCAACTATGGGTAAAGATAAAACTACTATCATCTTAAAAATTTACTGCCATACTTAGGCACTTACAAGATTTAAACATGGCAACATATTGCCAAAAGTCACATTATTTTCAAACTTAGCATAAATTACTTATATTTAGACAATAAAAACATAACACTCCTAGTTTGAAATTCCTAAATGCTCTTGCTCCTATTTACAACAATTTCTTAATTAATACTCCGTATGTATATATATCGGTTGAATTTTGTTTCTCTTATTTCTTTTCCCGAAGAACCAATGATTTTAATTTCACTGTATATGTTAACAATCACATGGTCACAAAACATATTCGAGAAGCTTAAATTTTATGTATATTTGACACAAACAAAAATTTAGAGAACACAAAATTGTAGAAGGAAAACAAGGGATGCGGTGAAATACACTTGAGATTCCATCAAGTGAGTGGAAAGAAAACTATATATAGTGTAGATAAACGAAATAACAGGAAGGAGTGGAGTAGTCGGAATAGCTTGGTAAGATCTAAAGTAATGAATGAAAACCTAATGAAAAGTTAGATTAGATCTAATTGTAGCGAAGAAGCAAGATCACCGGTGGTTACTAGCTCATACAGTCATACTAAGCCTTCTCTATTAACTACTTCCTATGTTCTTTAATTCTTACAACATTGTGATTTTTGTACTATTCACATACCTTACTTTGACCACGATTTTCTATTAATATACATAATCATTTATTACATATAAAATGTTATTGAATTCCTTTCAATGTGAATTTCCAAAATATCAACTTCTTATAATGTTTACTAATGCATAATTAAATATAATTACAGTCACAGTTGTTCATTGACAAACGTGAAAGTCATACTGTTGCAAGAATTGAAGAGTGGATGATAGTATATAGTACCATTATAGATATAAGGCCCCTAAAAAGATAACTGAAAAAAATTAATGGATGAAATTATTAATATTTTAAAAAGATTATATAAGAGAGCTAGTCAATTTGTTTCGTTCCACGTGTCCCACTTTGTTTTCTGAGATGTCCTTAAGGATGACATTTTTATTTGGAAGCTGGAAAACAAACCAAAAAAAATGATTCAAGCTGGGGGTAGCTAAACAAGAATCGAACTGACACAAATGGGACGCAATAGTTGGGACCCGGATGTTAATTAGCTTAAAATCGGTTCTTAGAGTACAAAGATAACTTCAAACCGAATCAGACTATTTTTTATCAAATTAGTTTAAATATTTCTAAAGCTATTGTAATACTAGAAAGAGAAACTGTCCTAAATAGGAGTCAAAAGGTTTTGTGATTCCAAAATATAACTGGAATTTATTTTGAAATAGAAGTCGTTATTTACATGATTGAAAAGTAAATATTGTCTCTAAGCAGCCACAAATCGTTCCGACGCGCCCTTGACCTATTTTGGTTCAGGCCAAAAACATGTTAATGTTAAGTATTGTAACTCTTTTGAAAGTAATAACTCCAAGATAGTATGTTTAGTACTATAGCTAAACCTCATAGTTTCACACTTTTTTCTTCAAACTTCTTCACCTCATAATTTCAACACCATTTAGAACATACAATTTCATCCTTCATATACCCCAATATATGCATTCATTGGTATGATTGTAGTAGTAATAGGCAGAAAAGCGTGCTCTCAACCGTGAGAATGCTAAACTCTAACCTTAGTCTAATATTATTAGAAGAGATTTGGTATTATGTAAAGCATATAAAACGTATTGAAAATTTCGGGAATTGAAAAGTTTGGAAACAGAATCATTTGTTCGATTTGTAACGTGTCTCATTTTTGTTCAGAAACTGAACCAAACTTAGCACTAAATGTCATATTTCCATTTTTGACAGGAAACATGTTGTCCATATTATCATACTTTGTTAGGGAAAAGGAGCAAATAAGTCATCGAACTAACAAAAAAGTGCAAACCGCCCCTTATATAGGAGGCCCTGTCCGGTCGGTATCATTTGGGGAGGTTCCCGGTAGAATTTTTTGATGATTTTTTTTGAGCATCTTCTTCATTAAGTCTATTTACCATTTTCATTAAAAGTACTACGTAACAAATACGTAGTATATGATTATAATATGATTAGTTTATTATACTATCTAATACTCCCTCCGTCCCAAAATGATTGGTCAAATTTCCTTTTTTGTCCGTTTCAAAAAGGTTGGTCATTTCCATTTAAAGTAAGGAATATGTGACTAAAATTAATTCTCTCCTGTGCACAAATTTTGATCATACAATTTTTACTTTATTAATGCACGTGCAAGTCAACATTGACCAATGATTTTGAAACGGATGGAGTATCTAATATCTATGTGCCAAACTTGGCCACAATACTACATTAAACGCACCACAACCTAACAGAAAATTAGAGTTTAGTTAAAACATCCCTAATACTCCATATCATATACTCCGTACAAATGTACATGTGTATATTGTGAAGTAATCAGGCTTCATTCGGCTTCATCCTTCTTGTCCATTTTATCCTGTAGGGTTTGCAATCTTCATGTTCGGATCATTGAAACGATGATGCTTTCACGAATCGGACGCTCACTTGTTAAATCTTCTCGCTCAAGGGTCAATCCAGTAAGCATAGTTAGCATCATTGATTTTTTTTTTTTGTGTGAGAAAGTGATCACTATCAATGGCTTGCTGTATTTAGGGGTTAGTTTCTGGTGGTTATTATCCAAAGACAAAGGTTTGCGATGATAGTGTATGGATTGCACGCGCTGAAGGCGGGGTAGGCCTTGCGAGAAGCCATTTGACGTCTATTTGGGCTGTAAAGGGGACTCTTAACAAAGTTTATTCTTCAGATATTGGCAGTATTTTTGCAAACCCAAGACTTCGTAGGTTTTTCTGCAGTCAAGCTCCTAAAAGGAAAAGTGAGGCAATCCAGCTTTTCAACATGTTTTGGTTTTATATATCCTTTGTAATTCGTTTTGTTTAAATGCCATATATTTTTGCTTATTTGGTACTTCCAAGACTATGAGAACTATTATCCGAAGAATAGGAAAGAAGCACCTAAAGCAAACAACCAAAAAGCAGAGCCAGGAAGAGGTATAGAGCTTACTATCCATGTATTGACACATTCTATTTCTTCATTATTGACTTATTGCAAGTGTGAAGCATACATCTCAAATAAAACTATGGCTATATATGAATTCTATTTATCAATTAGTCATGCTGGAGCACAACTTAAGATGTTTTTACTTGGACTGCTTTCAGTCCCAGACCAGACTTAAACAAACCAGACCAGATTTAAACAGACCGACCAGACATGAATTTCTTAGTTATAAAATCCACGCCGTTTACCAGACCAGACTTAAACAGACCAGACCAGACCAGACCAGACCAACAAATTTCAGTCCAAGTAAAAACATCCTAAGCCGTCCAATTTATCTTTCTTCGTTTTAGAAAGCAGGATGTTTCCTTTTCGCTTCTGCCTTCTGCCAATGATGGGTCTAGTCTCTTACTACTCCCTCCGTCCCAATTTGATGTTCCTGTTGCGCTTTACGATGCTTGACCGACGATAAAGCAAACAGATCCCTGTCCGCACTCAAATTATTTTTAGGAAAAAAAATTATATATTCAGAAACTACATTAAAATCTTTACACGGTTGCAAAAACCTGAATCGAATTTGATAAAAATTTGATATATAAAGTAAGAGATTAAGAGTGATTTGTGTTGACCAAGTGAATAGGAAATGGGAATATCAAATTGGGACAGAGGTAGTAATTTTGGGAAAATGGAAACTAATAATCCAACCTTTTAGTGGTCTTCTTATAATAGTCCCACCTTTTGATTATTCATGAATAATCCAACCTTTGCACCTCATCTTCATTCACTGGTCCCTGACCGGTTGATGACCTGTTATTCCAAGTTATTTTCTTATCTTTGTAAACCATTATACCATAAATCTCATCTTTCACAAAGATAATATTTTGCAAAGATAAGAAAATAACTTGGAATAACAGGTCATCAACCGATCAGGGACCAGTGAATGAAGATGAGGTGCAAAGGTTGGATTATTCATGAATAATCAAAAGGTGGGACTATTGTAAGAAGACCGCTAAAAGGTTGGATTATTAATTTCCATTTTCCCAGTAATTTTTAACTTTATGTTGTTTTAGCAGTTACAGTTCTAAGCATCCATAAATATATAATGTGAATAAACTATTCATCTGCGTTGTTAAATTGCACAATGCCTTACTGCCTGAAGGCGAGCCTTGACATTTTTTGCCTATTCACAAGGGGAGGCGTACCTAATTTAGGTAATATAGAAACTTGCACATCTGTAGCTAATGTGTACGCAATGGGCGCTTAATGAGGCACACCTTATCGGGAAGGGGGAGTTCTATAGACAATTAGGTTCGATCTGCGAGCGTAGACAAGAAGTTGGGCCCACTTATGGAATTAAGCACAAATAGTTTATAAATGTGACATATGTAAGGTCTCCTGCAGTTTTACCTCTGCTGTGCGCCTGCTAGT